ACATTCGATGCCTGTGGGGCCCACAACTGCCTGACGGACCCCAACTCAACTGACGGACCCCAACTCAACTGACGACCCCAACTCAACTGACGGACCCCAACTCAACTGACGGACCCCAACTCAACTGACGGACCCCAACTCAACGGCGCCTTGTTGGTGAACCATGTTTGACATGCTCTTGTCACGGGGCCTCTGTGAGTCGGCAGCTCACCACAACATCTACAAGACCAGTACAAGGGAGTGCCTCTCAGGCCCATCGGAATCCTCTGCGGAAAGAAACCCTGGGAAGGCCGGGCCCAAGTTCCTCCCTGCCATCTTGCAGGATGGCAGAGACACCTCTCTGGACAGACAGCAAGCTCCCTCCCTTTGCATCCCATTGTCCGGCTACGAGCGGAAAGAGCGAGGATCCCAGGTCCCCCAAGGCCTGGCCCGGCTGGTGGGAGGCACAGGCACCTTACCTGATGGGGTAGTCAGCTGCGCTGAGGTTGATGAAGAAGTCCCAGGGCCAGTCGGCCATCTCCAGCAGGTCCCGCATGCTCTGCAGGTAGGTGGTCAGCAGGCTGGCGCCGCCCCAGATGGTGGCCATTCTCCAGGGCGTGACTCGGACGTTGTCGTACTGCCCGGTGAACTGGAGCACTTGCCGGTGCAGGTAATTCGAGCGCTTTCCGGGAGAGAAAGGGAGATGATTGGAGCAGGGGCAGGCAGCACCCAGATTTGCCTCCCCGCTACCTGGCTCCTCCTTCTAGTGGGTGGAACTACTGGTTAGAGCAGTGCTCCTCACAGGTTGAATGGCTTCACAGTTGCATTTGGGCAAAAGCAAACATGGAATCCCTGGCCCCACTTCTGAGCCAATGGTCCAGTAGGCTTGGGCTGGTGCTGGGGCTCTGTTGTCAGACCCCTGCTGGGCCTGAAGCTGAGGTGTCTTTTGAGCACGAACCTGGGCTCTGCTTCCCTCCTCTGGCCCCCACCACCCTCTCACACGCCCGTGGGACCTCTGGGATGCTCTGGTGGAGGCCGGTTTGAACATCACCTGCAGCCCAGTCCTTCCTGCCTTCTGACGGAGGCCACAAGCACGCCACCTGGGCGGACCAACTATAGCCTCTGGGACAGCACATCGGCCACAGGACTCTGCTCATCACATTCTATCGGGACACAGACGCACCGTTGGCTTACATGTTGTCTGTGGTTGGTTTGGCACGACACAGGCAGTGGCGACAGAGCTGTTGGGCCATTCCAGAAAGGGTCCCAAACCCGGGCTCATTATCCCTATGAAGTATGGCCTGGCAGGGATGTCGGCCGGAGCCAGGCAGGTGAGAAGAGGTGAGATAAACAGTATTGATGGAGGAAGCCTAAAGTCATATTCAGAAACCCTGAAGCCCCAACACATACTTCCTCTCAAATACACACACACACACACACACACACACACAAATACCACTCACACACTCCCTCTTTTACACACACACACTTTCTCTCACAAATACATATACACTTGGACACATACATAGACAAACATTCTTTCACACATGCACACCTCTCACACACACTTTTTTTGCACGCTCACACAATTTCTCTCTCATACACCTTCTCTTTCATACATTCTCACACATATACATTCTCATACACACTCACATATATCTGTTCTCTCTTTTCCGTAGACCCACACACATACCCCCTTTCACTCTCTCATGCACGCCCACTCCAGCAGGTGAGCCTGGGCCCTTCATGGGCGGCACCAGCGATCTGGGAGCAGGGTCTCTGCAGGGTCAGACATCCCCCACAGAGCCAGGGTGCCATGGGGTGCCTGGAGGTGGGTCGTCACCTTGTCCACGTGGATGTAGTAGAAGTGGTCTCTGTGGTAGATGGCCTTGAACATGCGCTGCAGCTGCCGCGAGGCACGGCCGTGGACCACCAGGACGAAGGCAATCCTGACCGGGTTGGCTGGCATGTCCTCTACCGAGTCCTCATCCCACTGGACATTCTTGTTGGCTTTGCCTGAGGAAAACCAAGAGTCCACACATGAGGCGAGGAGGCTCCATGGCCCTTTAAGGGTGGGGGTGCTTCTCTGCTACTCTTCCTTGGGGACAGTTGAAGGCTGCAGTCCTCACACTGGGTCCTGAAACTCAAGGTTGCCAAACACATCCTTGACCCTGAGGCTGTTAGGGTCCCACAGGATTGGGGGTCACCGAGGTGCCTAAGACACAGTGGTGTAGACACGTGTGCTCATATTAAAGAGCTAGAGGAAGAGATCTCTGCAGAGACAGATACAGATGTCTCTGAAGAGACATAGGATCGCTCTGACTCATGGTGACCCTCGGTGGGGGCCTGACTAGAACTGAGCTTCACAAGATTTTCAAAGGGTGAGTTTGAGGAGTGGGCTGCCAGACCTTTCCTCCAAGATGCCTCTGAGCACACAGCCACTTTGCGTGACCCAGGGAAGGACCGGTGACTTCCCAGTTGGGCTAGTTTGGCGCACCTGTTCTCCCTGCCCTTCCTAATGGCATGTCATATTTGGAAGGGCCCAGCGCCTTCCTCCATTCTCAGCCACTACTGACTCCAAGGATGGCCCAAGCATTTAGGCCAATCAGGACATGTCTGCTCCCTGGGATACACTCTCTCTTCAGACCTTAGAGGTGGTTGACTCTTCATAGCACAAAAATAAATAAAAACAAAGAAAAGACTGGCCCATGGCCGATTGCACGAGTCTCCAATCACACATCATCCATTGCACCTTTCTGCACTGTCTCACACTGCCCGCCACTGCTTGTTTTCCACTTACTTATGTGATTAACATTCAAATGTCCCTCTAGAACATAAACTTCAAGAGCCACGGATATTATTCAGTTTATGTACCACCGGACACACAGCAGCGGAACAGTATGTGTTTTCTGGGGGGTGGGGAGGGGAAGTCACAGGAGCATACATTCAAGTTCAGCACAATCACGAGGAGAGTACCTGTCGCCAACATGCTTTATTGAGCACCTTTGCAAAGGACCCTTTTATCCCCATTGTCCCGATGAAGAGAGCACTGATGACCAGGTCAAGATCCTCCTGCAGGGTCACAATGCTCGAAAGAGTTAAGCTGAGATTCAAATCCAGTTCTATTTGACTGTAATGTCCATGCCCTGGAAGCCTGGTACACACTACATGACCACACCCCCAACCAGGGAAAGATTTGCAACGATTCTGCTTGCTAGTTGATGGCGTACACGATACGTTAGTCACTGCAGGTAGCGGCGGGCACAGGAGGGATTGCAGGGGAGTTCTTTTCCCAAGTGGGAGGTGGACTCTGGGTGACCAGGATGGTCACATCTTCTCATCCAACACCCAGCTCTAAATTCACCCATCTACCCCTCATTTCCACCCATTAACCCTCCAAATACCCAGTGACTTATCAAGCAAAGCACCCACCCACCCACCCGTCATCCTTCTAATCAACCATCCATTCATCCACCCATCTACCAACTCATTGACCCTTGTAATATTAATCTAGCCTAGATACATGCCAGGTCGCGCGCTAGGTACCAGGGCAGTAAGATCGAGATCACGAGCAGCCCTTGCCTTGGAAAAGCTGTTGGTTGGGGGGGAAATGCTCAATTGTTTTGTGATACAAGTCCGTTCTGGCTGTGATTGGAGAGAGGAGGAAAGAGGAGACCTCAGGCAGTTTGGCCCAGAGCTCCGAGACCCATTTCTTCAAGCTTTCCCGATGAGTTTTATGACTCCTCGGCTATAAAATCAATCGCTGTAACCTTGGAGCTAATTAGCATCCTGGCTGTGGTGGATGACAGACTTGGCAGCAATGAGAGGGCTATCCGAGGTACTCTAATCTTCTCTCCGACTAAACTGATATGCTGGTGACCATACAAGGTGGGTATGCCTGGAGGGACCCATACATACACCTATCCATCCACCCATCCATCCACCCACCCACCTACCTACCCACCCATCATTCTTAAACCTGATGACTTGCCAGCCCTGGACAAAACCTGATGATTTGCCAGCCCTGGACAGAGCCCGGGTTCAAAGGCACACAGGGCACGGGTCTGCTCTGCCAAACAAAATTTTGAATGGATTAAGCATTGTGTGAATCCCAGGAGAAAAGATCATACCTGTGAGAAAAGCCTGTTCTTTCCCAAGGACCACAGGCCTGGTCTCCACCACATTGACTGTACCCTCTCCTGGTCCTGCTTAGAGATGCTTTACCAAGGCCCAGGGAGAACATTTAAAAAGGCAGCCGTCACAATGGGCCTTCTCTCTGCCCAGAGCCTCTGTGAACCTTCCCCTGACCGCTGGGCCACCAGTCCGAGCGCTGCAGTCGTGGAAAGCAGCTGGTCTCCCATGCTTCGCCATCTGTGGGCTATGACCGTAGGGACTGGGGACAGGAGCTCACCCCTACCCCACAGGTGGGAGTGATTGCTAGGATGATTTCCAATCTCTGTGTCCCTTGACCCAGGGATTCCACTTTGGAGACTCTAGCCCAGTAAGGGGGCAAAGTGTGAGAGTGTAGATAAGGGGCGGTCTCTGTGGATTGGCTGGTCCTCTTTTGATCCATTCATCCAGTCAGTGCCTTCTACACGCGAGCACTTTCCTAGCTAAGTTAGTGGACACAGCAGAGTCCCCTCCCCCAGGAGGCCTGCTGTCCAGTGGGCTAGAAGGCCAGCATGCAGACTGGGGAAGGGCTGTGTCACATGATGACGGAGTGTGGCTGGTGTCACCGAGCTGCAAGCGCAGAGGATGCTGAAATGGCAAATGTCCAGTTACACAGACTAGATGCACTTACAACCGAAAAAAACGATCAGGCTCCCGCTTGGCTGCCACACTGGGCCCGGCACCTGGCTCCCAGGGCTGTGTCTGAGCTGGCGTCCGCGGCCTGCAAATAACACCCGCTGCTGGGATTTCCCTCCTCTGCCTGTACCCAGACCACACGTGGCAACGGAGCTGCCGACTGGACCTTGCGTCCCTCTGACAAAGCCCTCGATTCCGTTTATACCTGGACGGGCCTCTTCCGGCTGCCGTCAGGGAGCCACCAACCAAGAAGGGCACTTGAGTGTCGAGAATGGGAGTTACCGCTGACATGGCGGGGACCAGGTGGCCTGACAGAGCTGCAGGGGGAGCGCTCGGACGTGCCAGGAGGTGCCAGCACTGCCTCTAGACCCGGCTCTTCCCTGTGGGTCCTTTGGGAAGCCACTGCCCTCTCTGGGTCTCAGTTCGTCACCCATGAGATGGGTGAGCAAGGCTTCCTGGTCTCCCGGGGGCTGCAGCCTGAGCCATGGCCGTGAGTGTGAAAGTCTCATCCCAACAGGAGAAACCCTTACGAGTGTGCCAAGGCCAGGGCCCGGGAGGTGTCTTTGTTCTCCACCCCCCACTCCACTCCCATCCAAGTCAGGTCAATGCCGGTTTGTGGTGACTGGAAGCCGGGAGCTGCCCGGCGCAGCACATGCGATGGCAGGAGGCGAGCTGGGCATCCTCACAGACTGGATTGTGTCCTCCCAAAGCGATGAGACTGTGCTGACCCCCGAACCCGAGCATACAATTGACAGGAGCTTGAAGGGGCTTTCCGTTGGCCATAATGAGGGTCCTTAGACCCATTGTCATTGAGTTGATTCTGACTCCCACGTATGAGCATCGAGCTCCATCGGGGTTTTCCTGGCTGATTTTATTTTTCTTCTTGGAAATGGAATGTCAGACCTTTCTTCCGAGCAGCAGACAAGCACGCTTACTGTTGGCAGCACCCAGGGATGTAGGACGGCGGGCTCACGTGGGGAGAGTTCACCGTGCTTCCAGATGGCTGTGGGCTCCCTCTCGGCCAGGGCCATGGTAGTAACTCCCTCAAACTCCGCTCAGGCCAGGTAATGTGCTTAGCTCGGAGCAGAGGGTACGGATGAAGCCAGTCAGCCTGATAGATAATGGGCCCTGGGCCCTCAGTGAAGGCTTGGTCCAGGAGAACTGAGCCCCCCACCCAGGAGCAACTGTTAGGTATCCCATCCACCGAGGGACATCCCTGTGGCTCCCTGCCAACTCAGTCCTATCCTGACGTGATGAGAAGCATGGAGAGAGGGCACGAAGTGTGGTTTAAACCAGCTCCCGGGGCAGGCACAAACCGCTTCTGCTCAGCTCTGCTCACCTTTATTATGAGTCTATTTTCAACTCACTGAGATGCCTGATACCAGAGCACCCAGAAACCATTCCATTGTATTTCCTAGGCTGTCATCTGATTGCCAGGCCTTTCTCCCAGGAGCCAGTGAGTGGGTTTGAACTGCCAACCTTCCAGTAGCAGCTGGACACCTTGGGGCTCACTCCGATGGGGCAGTTCTTCTCTGTGACACACGGGGCACCACCAGTCCGAGTTCTATGTTTGCATTAGCAGCCCTAGCTCAGGGGCACTAGGGCCGTGCCTCACCATCAAGGGAAGCCAGGCACCCTGGTGCAGGTAGGGCAGGCTGACCTGGTGCCCTCGCCCTCTGCACCCACGCTGGCCTTTCGTTCATTGCTCACAGGTGGGGTGGTGCCCTGGAAGACCCCAGAGCTCAGACCTCTAAGTGTGGTGTCAGGGTTCCAGAGAGAAGGTTTTGTGCGGCCCCCCGACAGGACACTCAATGGCAGTGTGAGCCCAGCCTCTCCCAGCCAAGGACAGCCCAGGCCCAGGCTAACTTCTCCTGACTCGCACTCCCTTCTTCCTTTCCCAAGGAGCTGAGTCTGCCCTTGAGGCTGACCGCGCTGGCCATCCCGATTTCACCGACTCATTGGCGTGGACGCCACCTCCTTCTGGCCAGGGAGTGAGAATAAGGCAGCTGTGCTCGGCAGGGATGCAGGCTGACTCTTACCTAAAACGCACTTAGAGGGGGAAGAGGGAGTGGTGTCCCGTGATACAGATTTTGTGGGATTCACGGGGCAGGAAGAACGTGGATGTGACAAACTGGGAAGGAGGCAGGAATCTGAAGGAACTTTAGGGAATATCAATGAGACCGAACAAGGCTGCCTTGTCACCTGGACGT